CAAAGAATCCTTTCAATCAAAAGTCCTCAACGCTCCTTTCTGTCATTAACCAAACCATAAAGAAGACCTAGGCATCCCATTTGTGACAACATCCAACCTCGATTCCACAACTTCCACCCCTCCATCCTACTCGACACAATATTCTGACCTAGAAAATAAGCATTATTGCCCAGCAGTTTTTCTACATGTTAGGTGCGTTTGACAGAGTGTGCCACCCCGGTTTTTTGTCAATTTAAAAGTATTCTTCCCCATATCTGAAGTATTTCGTCTCGGATCGCTGGTTTAAGGTGAATATTGGCTTTGAATTTTCAGACATCAAGCCTATCAAGGCCGGCGTTCCCCAAGGGTGTATCCTAGGACCAATGCCCTTGCACAGTCTACACCCACATCACGACCTTTGCGGGCAATACTCCACTCACATCCAGGCCCTATCCTTGTAGCGAAAGAAAACCACTTAGACCTCATTACCGACTAGTGCACTCGGTGGCACATGACGCTAAACGAACCAAAAAATCTGGCAAGTGACGATCACTCTTAGAAGTATCGCCTACCAGTGAACATACACAGTACTTCTATTTGGTCCGCAGACTTACATGGAACATATACATAAAAAAAGACAAGAATGAACCGAAGAAACGGACAAAACGTCTACTTGGGCCCAAATCCACAATGAGTACACACAGCAGAGTAAAAATATACGAGACACTAATTAGTTCTGGACTGTTGTAGTCGACCTGTGGGCTTCGGCCAAGCCGACCAACATCCAAAGAATCCTTTCAATCAAAAGACCTCAACGCTCCTTTCTGTCATTCACCAAACCATAAAAAACACCCAGGCAGCCCATTCGTGACAAGATCCAACTACGATACCACAACTTCCACTCCAAGACCAATCCACTAGCTCAAACCCTCTTTAACGTCCCATCCAAACAATTCCCAGCCTGAAAAGACAATGGCCTCATGAGCTACTAAACCCAACCCTAAACCTCATTCAACATTACTAAATACTGAGAGTTCCGGCGCTAGACACAAAATTATGATGAACAACCCTCACCAAGACTGGCAAACTCACTGCTTCAATTAGAGAGGGCTAGATTCAGGACTACTAACCGCACACTGGCATCTGAGAAAACATCTACACAACATGTGATACATAACGATGATCCCATCTGCAGATTATGCAATGACGAGGAGGAAACAGCCGCCCATATCTTCCAATGCGAAGCAACGGCTCAATGGAGATTTAACCTAACATACCGAAAAAATTTGGGTAATGATAGCAGTGGCAGTCAATGACCTGATACTTCTGAGAAGATTGAGTCTACTGTACTTAACTAGGCAACTAGGAATATAAGCCAGAAGGCTGCATTTCCTGGGGAGCTTCCTAGTATCCTCATTACTATCCCCGTGGTCTGACAGGTTCTTACCACATCTTTTATTATGAACAAATTTTTAAAAGAAGAAGAAGAACTGAGAAAGAAGAAGAAGAAAAAACTGTTTTACACTTTTACCGCTCATCAGATTCCCTAGAACTGACTAGAACTGGCGGAGTAAGTTTTTTGAAAGTTAACAAAGCCCTTCGTGTCCCAACTAGATTTGAATGGTACAAAACAAACGCGTCAGAATCGTGGAGCCTGGGAAATAACTCGATGCTACTCGAATAACCTTGGGGTTCCTTTTATTTCCTGTTTATGCCCACGCCGACACAATTTTTTATTTAAGATACAATCTTCTAAAACGGAAGCATAAAGGGAAAAAGTTAGCCATTTTAGAAAATACGGACGGTGATTCGCTCACATACCTTCCTACCCCCCTCAAAAAAAGCAAAATATTTGGTTTTCTTTATTAATTATATACATAAGTAGTCAATAACTATAATTAATTAATTTCGAAATATCAAGGCACAAGACTCAAAGACAATTTGCTGTTAAACCATTTCCATCCAACTTTCTCCAGGGCGTCAGAGCACGAATTATTTATCAAACTTTAGTCCTTTTTTTGACAAATTATTTATTTAATTATTTTATTACTATTTCTCTTGCCTCATTGAAATAAATTTGTTTTGATCAAGCAAATAAGCAGTTTTTATTTTACAACTTTTCGCGTTCTTCTTCTTTTTATTTCTTCACGCTTTTTACAGGAGCATTCTGCTAATTAGCACCGGACTACGAGGTAAGACTGCTGTACTTAGAAGTCTGTGATTCACAGTTAAGCTCGACATATTTGTAAGTTCAAATTGAAGTTTTTTTTAATATAAATGGGCTTTGTGACAGACCCAGAATTGAAGATGGCGAGAAGCCGAAGTAGATCAGAAATGTTGTAAACGACCAAACCACAAGTTTATCCATCTGCAGAGTCAAGAGGAAATCTCACAATTTATCGTTTGACTAAACATTTATCCAACGAACTGCAAAATTACCTAAACAACCAATACTCGACTTAAACACAATCACTAACTACTGACGACAATTCACTATGGATTTCTACAAGAAAATAAAAAACACATCTCTTCCTCTACAACGGGCAGATGGAACTTGGGCCAAATCCGAAGAGGACAAAGCCCAACTCCTAGCCCAACACCTCTCTGCAGTACTCAATCCACACCCAGACATCCAAGACCTCAACCATTCGGAAAAAATCCTTAACGAACTTGACGAACCATTACCTCTCTCACTCCCTACAAAAACCTTTCTCCCCTAAAGAAGTCAAGCAGGCCATCCTAAACCTTTCGAAAAATAAATGTCCAGGTTACGACCTAATCACTCCCATCATCCTATCCCAACTACCTAAAAAAGCCATTATCTTTACAACCTACCTATTCAACGCTGTCCTACGTACAACCCATTTCCCCACCTGTTGGAAATTTTCTTCCATCAGGATGCTCCCAAAACCTAAGAAACCAAATCGCCTTCCTAGCTCCTACCGACCCATCAGTCTTTTGCCCATTATTGGCAAAATACTGGAAAAGCTCCTATTGAACCGCTTGACCAAGGAAATTCCTACAAATACAATTCCCCATCACCAATTCGGCTTTCGGAGTTACCACTCAACTGTACAACACGCACGAGCATAATCGACGTTATTTCCTCATCCCTTGAGCTAAAACAGTATTGCCCGGGTGTGTTCTTGGATATACACCAAGCCTTTGACCGAGTATAGCACTCTGGGCTGCTGTGGAAGCTCAAGAACATCCTACCAGCAACCTATTACCTTATCCTAAAATCCTATGTTAGTTCCAAGAATCCCACAAAAATTCATTGTCTCCTATCCATCCTATTCTTGCAGGTGTCCCACAGGGCAGCGTGCTCGCTCCTTTCCTTTATTCAATTTATACCTCCGACCTACCTACGCAACCCAACACTATCATCTTCACCTTTGCTGATGATACCGCAATCCTTTCTCCTGATAAAGATCCTGTCACTGCATCCCGTAATCTTCAAAATCACCTAAACACCCTACAATACTGGCTTCGTCGGTGAAGAATCAAGATCAACGAACATAATATTTACTCTAAACAAGAAAACACTCCCACCTGAACAACGTTCCCATCCCAATTGCGAACCATGTACGATATCTCGGACTCTACCTCGACAAACGACTTAAGCGCACAGTCTGTAATATACGATTTTTCATGCTTAAACGACTACTCGGCAGACGATCAAAACTCTCACTAACAAACAAAAGAAAACTTTACATTGCCCTCCTGGCCACCATTTGGACATACGGACTTGAACTTTACGGTACTGCTAAGCGTTCCAACCTCAATCGAATCCAATCCCTTCAATCAAAAATCCTCAGAACAATAGTACAAGCCCCTTTCTATGTATCCAATCACACCATCCATACCGACCTAAATGTCCCTTTTGTTACAGATCTAGCCCAATCCCGCTACAAAACGTTCCATTCCAAACTACTCCACCATCCGAACCCCTTCGTCAAAAACCTGTCATCAACCACATTACCTAATAATCCCAACAGAAGACTAAAGCGTGGGTGGCCCCGCGACAACCTTAACGTCGGTCTCCTAGGACGGAGTAAATCTCGCTCATCGTATTGATTAACTAACGGCTACCATCACTGGATGGTAATTGTTCAAGCTTTCACGCTGCCATTAATAATTTTACATGTAAATACTATCTGTTTTACTTGTTGTGTCGAAGAATGCAGTTGTAAAAAACAAATAAAAAGTTTTAAAAAAAATTCCTAATTTGCACCGGACTTCATCCGAGATAATCGAGCTTAGAAGTCCCCCGATGTGCCTCTGGGGTAAATTTCCGTTAAATAAGACCTCCATGGGTAGGATAAACTGATACTAATTATATTAACTTTTGTTATTCCCTTTCAAGCTTTTCCCACTCTGCTTATAATTCAAATGTCTAGTCTATGCTTCTTTCTTCTGGATATGTACTCGTACAATTTACGATAGCAAGGTAAGATTGGCAGTACCACTTTCTTCTCATTTAGGGGTATTCTTTTTTTGACCTAGATAATATTCACAACTGTAAGTAGCCTGTTTATAACCGTTGGCTGAGCCATTTCTCACGATTTTTTATACCACGGTAATTGACCTACTATCGGAAAAGGATCTTTGAAGAACTGGGAAGGAGTCCCTGAAGATACAAAAATTGCATGCCCGCAGGGGCTGTAAAGCACTTCCAGCAACATTCTTCGCTAGGGATGACAGTAAGACCTACTGGGATTTAATACTACAGAAACCTTCTGGACGGATGATTGCATTTCTTACACTACCTGTACATGCAGATCTATACAGTCGTGATGAGCAGTATTGCACAATTACCTGTCTAAATTATTGCTATCCGTGGCAACCTTGTGCTTTTCCTAGCTTTTCTTTTGCACGTTCCATAGCCTTTAATATTGCAACAAGTTCCCCTGGGTATATCGAAAATGATGTAAAGTAGATTTTTATTCCTTTCGCAAAGGAGTGTTAACGGAGGAGTTTTAAAAAACTGTAAAAAAAAAAATTGTAAGTTTATTCACAATTATACATCCATGGCTGCTTGACGGGCTATGCCGGGATTCGAACCCAAGACAGCTAGAGTGCTGGCAAATACTGGTCGAACCACTCGGCCACCGCAGTCCATTTAGAAGTATCGACCAATTGAGTAGGTCTTAAGGAAATTTGAGATCGCCTGCAAAAATATTTCAATCTGTAGTCAAATTTAAAATTATTTTGCCCAGATGATGACCGTCAAATAAGACCAAAGCATGGCAGTAAGAATTGAATTTGTGTTTTGCTTCTAGACAATACCTTCATCCTTTAGAGGTCATATGAAAGAAAAAACCAAAACTTTTTTGGCCTGTGCCGAGCTTTTGGCGGTTTATTCCACCATCATCAGGGCCTATTAAAGAACCAAAATTAACACAAATTCACAATAACATAATATTAAGTTTTTATACTTACTTGACCCATTGTGACGAAGAGAAATAAATAACAAGGTACATGTGAATAATTCAGAATATTTATAAACAGCATCTACAACAGTATTTCAGTTTTATATAAAAGTAATAATAATCATTAATAAACAGGCTCTGATGATGTTGGAATAAACTAAGCTCGGCACAGCCCAAAAACGTTTTTTATGCGTGATTAGTGACCGTTAATCGATAATTATTCAGAAATTGTGAGATGCGTCGGGTGTGATGTAGATTTCAGAAAAACATTTTCTTGATCGTGCCAACGTTTCGATTTTTATTGAGCTCATCTTCAGGGCTCAAAGTGTTTGTCTTCTGTGTAATTGTGCTATTCTTGCATGTCGTGTTTTTTTATGCTTCATATGACCTCTAGAGAAGATCTAATCACACAAACTTAATTTTCTGCAGGTCGATAAACATCAAAAACAATCATTTATTCTTTTTATGTGAAGTCTTGGTTGAGATGAAAAAATTAGTGTCACGAGCGGGATTCGAACCCGCAACCTTCGGCTCGTGACACTGACTCTTTCATCTCAACCAAGACCTTACCGACAAACATTAATTAATAGAAAGAAGTAATTTGGTCAATCAGTCCACAAAATATAATAAAGTATTGTATAAAGTAAAACGAAGTATAACTTAACTAACAGCTCCCCGTGGCCACTTCAGAAGTCGCCGAGAATCAAATAGATTACCGAATTTGAAAAATGGCAAAAAGGAGGGAAAATTCGAAAAGTTGTAGGTTGAGATGGAAGTTGGTGTCCGAGTGGATCGAAGTCACGATCGCTCAAGTGGTAGAGCAACCGCGTATCAAGCCGAAGGTCGTGGGTTCGAATCCCGCTCGTGACATTGACTTTTTATCTCAACTAAAAACCATAATTAATTGAAAAGAATTTATTTGGTCAAGCGGACCACGAAACCTAATAAAATTTATTTTTATTTATGAATTGGGTATTACAGTGATCGTTAGGACAGTGGAAAGGGCATTTTTTTAAAATTAAGCAAGTGTGCAATTGTTAATTATTCTTAAGATGAAAAATTGTTGAATGACTTTCAACAACAAAAAAGTATCGTCTTTCTTTGCCACTTTTTTCATATTGAAGTATAAAAAGTAATTTTAAGTTTGAAATCGGCAGAGTATTTTAAGTTTTTTATTTTTTATTAATTTTTTTATTTTACTCTACGTCATCTAATATTAAATTTTTTCTAATCTTTGTGTAAGTTTTTTATTTTTATGACATATTTTCTATTAATTGCTGAATTTCTATACTATTGCTTGACCTCTGCTGTTTTTTCACACTGGCGTATAAAAAATCATTGAGAAAAGATATAAATTATAAGTGAACAATATAGAACAGTATGATTTTTTTTTTAATTTCCTCAAAATATTTTTGATGTTTGAAATCATGACTGTTGGAAAATCGTTTAAAGTGAATGTAATGCGCTCTTTTAATTGTTGACTTTTTCTTTTTTATTGTTAGAACTATGAATTGTGTGTTTTCGTTAGATCGTACGAGTGTTGGTTGATGAAATCTTTTTTATGTACAATTGTGTCTAAAACTAAACATAATTCATGACAGAAATCGCGAGTAAGTATATACAACAGTATTAATTAAGGTTTTTAGTTGAGATAAAAAAGTCAATGGCACGAGCGGGATTCGAACCCACGATCTTCGGCTTGATACGCCGCTGCTACCACCTGAGCTCGATCCACTCGGACACCAACTTCCCATCTCAACCCCACCTATTGAGTTCTCCCTCCTTTTTGCCATTTTTTGCCAGTATATGTATTGTTTTTACAAGTTTCCACAATATGTCATCTAATATTTGTCAATTTTAGAAATTCTATTATCGTAAAACGGTTGCTCCACCTATAAATTGTGGTTTTTTAATTAATTTAATTTTTAAATGCTTTTTTTATACAAGTGTGTTGTTCCGTCGTCTGTCTGAAAGAAATTAAACGTTTTTTAGCAACAAAAAACAAAAAAGGAGGAAAATTCGAAAGGTTGCAGGTTGTGTTGGTGTCCGAGTGGATCGAAGTCACGGTAGCTCAAGTGGCAGAGCAGCGGCGTATTTAGCCGAAGGCCGTGGGTTCGAATCCCGCTCGAGACACTAGCTTTTTCATTTCAACCAAAACCTTACATAAAAAGATTAATTGAAAGAAGTAATATGGTCAATCAGACCACGAAATATAATTTAATCAGTGTCGTTTAAGCCAAGTTTATGGTTTCCACGTTTGTTTGTCTGTATGTGTTGTAAAGGGAAATTTTATTGAAATGTAACGACTGGAAACGTTATGCGGGGTTTTAAGAAATTAAATAGTTATTCAGATATCGTGAGATGCGGTCGGGTGTGATGTAGGTTTCAGAAAAACATTTTCTTTATCGTGCCAACGTTTCGATCTTTATTGAGATCATCTTCAGGTCTCAAAGTGTTGTCTTCTGTGTAATTTTGCCATTCTTGCGTGTCTTGGCACTCTCAACACGACACGCAAGAATGGCAAAATTACACAGAAGACAACACTTTGAGCCCTGAAGATGAGCTCAATAAAGATCGAAACGTTGGCACGATAAAGAAAATGTTTTTCTGAAACCTACATCACACCAGACCGCATCTCACGATTTCTAAATAAATATAGATTAACGGTCACGAATCACCACACAAAAAGCAACAATCGTATCTCTCTTATCGGTGCTTGTATACATTTTTCTTGGAAGGCAAGGTATACAGTATTGTGCGATAGAATACAAATGAATTCGAGAAGATTCACATCGAGAAAATAAAAACAAAAATTACAATAATAGAGGTCATTGATATTCGAAATTTAACTAGACGTAACATTGATATTTTTAAATACATATGTACAATTAGATATGAAAACTAAAATAAAATGTAAGATAATAATATTTCTGCGTCGGTGGCCGCAACGGTTTAGGCGTTGACACGGCGCTCCTCACTGTAAGATAAAGGTCGCGGGTTCGAATCCAGCGGCCCTGCATTCGTACCCGACATACTTACAAATGGGCTTCAAAAACACATGCACCCTGAGGGTTTATATGACCTCTGCTGTTACCCCCCCCCACCTATATCGGAAATGAGAGAACATATTTCTTGCTTGCAAAAGAAAAAAAATGGGTATAACTCAGAAATGGTTGATCATATCAAAATTTATGAGTAAAAGCTGCATAAAATATTCTCCAGATTCGAATTGAACAATAAAAATATGGGATTCTCATTTAAAATAACAAAGTTAGTGCCATTTCCAGTAGACGAGAAAGTTATGTTAAATTAAATTAATTAAGGTTTTAAGTTGAGATAAAAAGTCAGTGTCACGAGCGGGATTCGAACCCACGACGTTCGGATTGATTCGCCGATACTCTACCACTTGAGTTATCCACTAGCTATACCACTTCAGCTACGATTTTTTGATATAATGAATTTAACTAACAATTTATTAATTACAACATACTTATTTTAATATAAACCAAATTAACTGTGATTAAAAATTAATTAGTTTTTATTTAAAAAATTAATTTTAATGGTTTGATAGAANTAGGTTTCAGAAAAACATTTTCTTTATCGTGCCAACGTTTCGATCTTTATTGAGATCATCTTCAGGGCTCAAAGTGTTGTCTTCTGTGTAATTTTGCCATTCTTGCGTGTCGTGTTGAGAGTGCCAAGACACGCAAGAATGGCACAATTACACAGAAGACAAACACTTTGAGACCTGAAGATGATCTCAATAAAGTTCGAAACGTTGGCACGATAAAATGTTTTTCTGAAACCTACATCACACCCGACCACATCTCACGATATCTGAATAACTATCGATTAACGGTCATTAATCTCTACACAAAATTAAATAGTTTTTATTACGAAATTTGAGGCATTGCCTGAGGTGACCTTTTTCTCCCAGTCGGATTGCTTCTGTCTCTCGAGTTTTCTTTTGGGAAGACTTTTTCATTGTTGCAATCGAAACAATGAGCCTGATCGTCTAAGTCCCTGACCTATAAACTGAAAGAATGAGCTGACCGTTTGATCATTTCAAACTACTGATAAACGGATCGGTTTACGCTCTTAATCGCATTGTCGATAGGAACATGAAATGTTTTTTCCTTCCAGCTTCCAGTTACGGTAATCGTTTTCTAATTCCTTTCCAAACCGGCCTTAGTCCTTGGTGGTTTACTCGATCATTACCTAGATTTTCCAGTAATTCTGATGAATGTCGGTTCAACGCGTGTTGTAATACGACCATCTGGGACGTTCAAACTGCCACATGTGATATTATTTTAATTACAACGGCCTAACTCTTAACAACATAAAAGGCCGGTAAAATCGTTTGAATTGCAAAATGTCCGGGTCAGAAATTTACGGCCGGCTGACCATGAAATTTCGCCTATCGAAATGTCGTGACCTCTAATCTTATTAAAGACCGGAGCACTCGCCGCAATTGGATGATAACCGTTGAAGTTATTCCAGCAGAGCTTCCTGGAACTTCTGAGTAGTTTTGACATGCGAATAATTCCCGACTGCTAAATCGTTCAGACAGATCCCAGCAATTAATTCTTCGCCTTCTCACAATTTAAACAATTTCGTTAACACTTTTTCAAATAACAATAATAATAAGTGAATAAGAGATAGATTAACACAGGAAACGAGAATAAACGGAAATCGCTTAAGTTTTAGAAGCGAATGCTATGTGAGGAAGAAATGGCAGCTGGGTGGGAACGATTACGAAAGCGGGTTTATTCCGTTGCAAAGCTGTCCTTGACCAAATAAAACACTGTCCCTGATTTCTAGAAATCCAGTTCCAGAAATCTTTTTTATATTAATTTATCGCGAAAGGATTTATTGTTCGTTTTACCAGATCGGTTTCAGTTCGAATATAAATATAACAGGAAAATATGCCTTTAGTACTCGAATTACAAGAAATACAGCGTTTATTACCCTCCCGTATTGGAGACTTTTGAGCCTTATTTTAATTAATTGGTTCTATCTGTCAATATTAAATATTATAGCATAA